ATATATTTACACAGACACATACATCACACTGTCGATTCTTGTAGCGGCTTCCAGTAAAGGCGACCCTGGAATGTTCTCGTTCATTCAAGAGTACTCTGCGCGCACGCAACAACCTTATTGATAGTTAGGCATGTGAGCGACGCACATTTTAGACAAATCTTTCAATTTTTTAAAAATATGAGTGTGTTGCCTTGGATTTGACTCAACAAGCGTCTTCAGAGCATCAATATCAAGTCCAACATGTCGGCCCCTGTTCAGGTCCCGAAGTTTTTTTTTCAGGACTCAGGGACAACGTGTTCAAAACCGGGACCACTGGTCACCCTAGCTTAAACTCTACAACGTCCCAAGCCTACTTGTTCACCATCCAGGGCTGGTTTGGGGGTGTAGTATAGTAACACCCACAATACCAAATATATAGCTAAAAATGTGACATTTGACAATAGGTCTTATACACCCTTGTCATATAACTGAAAACAAAAGAAAGAAGAACACCCGATTGCTCCCAACGACAAAATGAATATTTTAGTAGTATAACAGAATTATACACCCCCTCCTGTAAATTCTGATAGTAAGCAACACCCACCTTTACAAAAAGAACAAAGTTAAACGAAATTGCAAGTTATAAAATAGGAAGGTAGAACTAAACTACCCTACAGGAATATAGAGACCGGTAAGACTGATTTTTTCGTGGCTCTATCACTTTCTCCGAGTTTGAAAAGTACATATTTTTTTTTAGCTGGTACTGTTTAATAACTTGCAATTGCTTGTTTACTAACTACTATCATTACAGCACAAGCCTTCTTGTATTTATCGAGTACAGCGTGTTGAAGTACAAGTGACAGCGTCTCATGATAACGTCATTGCTATTAAGTCACATGGTATGTGTGTGTTTTTCTTATAGCAAAGCCACATCAGACTATCTCCTGTGTCCACCGAGGGGAATCGAACCCCTGATTTGAGCGTTGTAAATCCGTAGACTTACCGCTGTCCCAGCGGGGGACACACATGGTATAACATCGCTACTTTTAAAATGTTGCCCAAGGACCTGTCTTACCTATTTAATACCTATCTACACGATAAGTCTAGTCCTAAGTAGCCCTCTCCTCCTGAGCATTATTAATAGGAACCTAAATAAGCCACGCAGTTCTTGGCAAACTGATTCTTAATCTTAGTCGCAAACATATCTTTATTTTAAAAGGGTAGTTACGTAATAATAGAATTGTGTGTATATATACGAGCACAATGTGGAACTGCATTGTAAGAACAGGAGTGAAAGTACAGTCGAACATTAGTGAAGCTCAGTGTAAATATACAAGTTAATGTTACCCCATGAAATAGACGTGGCCTGAAAAGGGTATATTCAATTACAAAATTCGGACATTTGACAATGCTTTATTATACCATGAGTAACGCATCAAAGTAAGGGGGTATTACCTAAGAATCAGTATAAAGTATTGTTAAGTCTCTGGTCGTTTGTTAATTTTCCGTAGAAATTATTTTCGAAGAACTTCAGCGATACAAGTCCTTTCTTAAATAAAACTAGTTTATTCTTTCTCAATTCAACTTTGCAGTACACTTAATTCCCACAGTCACTTTAACTTAAACATACGCTATAATTCACAACGATTCACGCACTTTACTTACGGCTTAACTCGATTATCTGTCTCTATATCTCTCTGTCTGCAATTATTTTCTGTCGTCACTTCTTGACAGTCATATATATATATACAAAATAGAGGGCGTCCGGAAAACACTCGAGCCTTCACGAACGTTCTAGATACTCATTACGTGTTACCAGCGTCACGTGAATTCCGCTGTCGTAACACTGCCCCTTCCTTAGTATTGTTCGTCCCGAACAATAGCCACTTAAATTAAACCAATAGATAATTAACAATAACTTAATTAAATGGACAGAATTTATATATCTCTGTCTGCAATTCAATTAATTGTTGTCACTTTATTTGCCGGCTTATATACTATAAAAGCGCGAGTCTAGCAAACGCTAGGATGTTCGACAGGTTCCTCGATTTTTCTAGAACTCCAGCGCATGCTCAGAGCGTCGCGCGACTTCCGCTGTCGTAACAGTATACACCAACTTCCCAGCAGAGAGGAAGAGGTCTACGAAGCACCTGATCTTCTCTAGTACTAATAATGGACCAAAATCCCGACGCAGAGAAACGTTCGTCAACTGTTGAATTCAGTAACTTGCAATAAATCAGCACAGCCATTCCACCTGTTAAACACGAGTTGGGCCAATTTACATACTTTACAGGCCCTGTTGATTGTATAAACAAAAGTGTTTAATACTGTAGAGTTCAAAAAATAAGGGACAGACCGATATTCCGACAACTTCTGCCACTAGTAATACAGTTTGCTATACTCTTCTTATTGTTATTCAAGTTTTTCTATTCTGTTTCTAAAATAACAATAATAAGGATGGCATTATTATTTTGAAAAACTTTAACATTATTGTTCAAAAGATTAGAAAGCTTTCATTACGAGTAACAATAATATTGCCTCTGGAATTATTACAACTACACTTCAAAATGTTATCGGCTTATGTCCCTAACACTATACACATACTACTGTTATGAACAACCCGAATGAACATTAGGCCTACACGTGTAGTTGTTTTTATGTTCACTTTTTGTAACTGTGGCCCTTCGGAATATCGGCTGTAACAGAAAAAAAGTATATTTAATGTACGGAAAAAAGGATTACCTTGCATTATTAGCTCCCTACAAAATTCCTAGTAAAGATTATTTCAAACAAAATTTCCATTGAATAACAATGAAATTTAATGAAAAACGTGAAGGAAACTGTATTTATTGTATCATTTAAATAGCTACTCTACATGTGATCTCTGTTTTCTCTTTGTATTGTCCTGTATGACCAGAACGTAGTAATATTCGTTGTTTGTAAATTATTTTCTTCACTGGTTTATGGTGTTTAAATGTTTATAGTTTTAAATATATTTGTCATAAGACATTATGTTAGGCTTGTTATATTTTAACACTACACTTCTAATATAGACCCTCAAGAATTATAAGAGTATATAATAATAGTATTTCAACCACACTATGCTGGTCGTATCCATCGCCAACGACTTGTTTCGCTCAATCTAGAACTCTTTAGGCCTGCAGGGATGCAACGAACACTGTAATGGTTGGAACATTATTTATATAGGCCATTGGTTTATAGTTTTGTTTTATGTTGATATTAATTTAAATATACAGTACCTAAACATCTAGAAGAGAAGAACTATTTACTTCGCTTTTATCAGTACGAAATACAAATAACAAACAATAACGCTATAAAGCACATGTATATTTCAAACAATAACTGAATAAGCAAGTGAAGCCCCAACTTACCTTGCAAAAGGCCTTGGAATAAAGGCATTAATACCAGGCAATAAAAGAAAAAACCTTTGTGTTAAGGAACGAGCTTTCAAAAACTCGGGGTCTTGATAGTTATAATGTTTATCAAACATAAGGCTACAAATCACATTTGTTGTACTGTTAGCCAATAAGTTCGACATGTCGTAAGGAGTCTCGTATGTCTGCTTCAATGCGTTCAGAATGTCCTTTGCGATCTCCAGAACCCGGCCCTCCAGACTTAGCTTTCCAAACCCAAAATCCCGGAGCGTTTTGAGAGCGAAGCGCCTGTGTTCTTGCCATATTTTACCTTCTGATTGAACGATGCCTGTAAAGGAAATACGAGTTTCGTTAACAAGGAGATTAATACACTGAAACTATGTAAGCTTTTAACTTATACTAATCTTTACAATTCAGCAAAAAAGCTTGTGTAAATCTTTTCTAATAAAATAATGATAATTTAGTTATTTAAAACTTCAGTTACAAAAATCAATTTTAAGACAGCAACAAGGATAGCCTAATTCTTGACACACATCCATAACAGAAATATAACATTCCACCAAATACACAATGATAGAAGATATTTAAAGCTGTCAACGTGTGTGTGTCAATATTACCGATACGATAAACGGGATGTCTACACACATAAAGTCTCGCAACCGTCAAAAGGTTAGCTTAGAATTGCTTCACGAAGATATTGGATCCGAAAGTTCGTTTAAATTAAGGTAAGTGACCAGTTACATATCCCGTTTTATTGTGTAATAAAACAATAGCGTTACAGCGTCTTAGTTATACTTTTGTTTAAAATTCATGATATAACTCATGAAATTACAAAAATAATTGATAACACACAAATGTGAACATACTGTAAACCATTTACAAATTTAATGTCTTGCTTAGATTACTTTATATTGGAAAGAGAGGAAACATGACGACATAGTATTAAATATAAATGTATTAGTTTAAATTTTAACTATGGTATTTTGAAGTTCGTACATGCGATTCTTTTTTATTCATTTTTTTAATACGCGAAACTGCCAATTCAAAATAAGCTGTTTTTGTATAGTGACTGGTAGATTTATTACAAAATATTAGCACTCACCCAAACCGTCAGTAAGCCACCAAAAAAATGAAAAATCTTGAGGTCTTCCGGCAAACATATCTCCATGCTCCAAGTAAGCGTCGAGTATAACACTGTAACTATTTAAGTGTATGAACGTTTTTCCCCAAACAGTAAAACTTAGAATATCTCCATACCTCTTGGCCAGGTTAAAGAGGGTAACATGGGGCTGGGGCCCCAGAAAAGGAAGATATCCTACTAAGGGAAAACCTATAGGTCCAGGAGCGAGATTCTTAGGTCGTTCAAGATAGTAAACGATTAAAAGACCCGCTGCGGTCGTTATTAACAAAACGGGCAAAGAAATCCAATTTAGTATATAGGTTAGCATGGTGGAGAGACAAACTACTAGTCGAGTTTCTCCTGTGTGTCAATAACTTTATATAGTTGTTGACTACGTTGTTAACCTAAATAAAAAAAATAGGAGTTTTATTTATGATAGTGACCTAAATAGCTAAGGACATGCTATGATTTTGTTTTCTTATATTATGCGCTTTCATGCATTTATAACCGTTTCGACTTTCACCTATCGAAAGTAACTATACCTAATCTGATTCACGCTGTAATTGAATGTGACGCCAGAGGTGTATCTTGCCCGTTAGTGTTTATACATGGCCTTGGGTGAGTACTCTACAAAACTTAGTATGGGCAACGTAATACTTAATAGATAATCACGTGACGTGGACATACAGTAAATTGGAACACATTATAATCCAGGGGTTAGCGTGCCGAACTGTGGATCCGAGATTTTGTTGTTCGCGTCCCATTACCACAAAGAAAAATCGCTTTCTGCATTTTGGAGCCAAGACTGCGTTATGAGAGTGCCAGTCAACTTCCAGTATTTGATTAGAAAAGCCCACGAGTTGTTGGTGGGTGAAGTTGACTAGCTGCCTTCCCTCTAATATATCGCTTTGAAATTATGGAACTTTGAGGAATTCGAGCTTTAATTATGCACTTACACTTTGTCCAGCCACTGTTAGACAGTTATTATTCTCTAATAATTAATAGACTCTTAACGTAATATATTAAACTTCCCCTTCTAAAGGGGTAGTTAAGCTTTGGTAAAGGGATCGAACCACGAATTTTAGCACTGTATAGCGACATAAGTTTTGAACGTTGTTACATTAACTAGTATTTATCACAGATCGTTTGCCAAAATTCGCAACCTCTAACATAGATCAGATAATACATGGAAGAAAAATAAGGTCATATAATACAAAATCGTTTTAAGAAGGAATCCTTAATAGCCGCGGCAATTGAAATTCTTTTAAGGAGGATTAGAGTAAATTAATCTCTGAGACCTGAGAAAAACAAGGAGCCACAATAATCAAATGCAAAAATAAGCCCTTTTTAAAATCTGCATGGCAATAACTTTTAACTGGAATATTTTCTAAGCAATTAGATGTACTTCCGCAGGATTCCCGAAAGTGTTCTGTTTCAAGAGTAAATAAAACCAAAATTATGAGTCACAAATATTTTTATTTCTTGCTATTTATGTTTATGTGTCATGCTGTGTTATGCCCTACACAGTGCATAATTCTTCTAATGATTCATGGCATGCATGCGTTTTACTGACGTCACGATAGTACAAATTGCAAAGTCATTTTAGTGTCGACTGACTGACAGACACACACTACAGTATAATGGTACTAGCGGATAAAACAGGTGACCCTTCAGGCGGTCTTTGGCCCCCTTTCGGGGACAAAAGGAAAGCACCCTTCACAGCTCAAATCAAGCAAGGTCATCTACACCCCCCCAAAAAAACTTTTAAATGAGTCCTTTACTACACTAGTCCCCAGGTGGGTTAGTGTTAAAATCTGGGGTTCGATTCTCTGCGGTGGAAAGTGTGGAGATAGCCCATTGTGAGCCTCACACTAAGAAAACAACTACACTACAAAATAATATAAACCATTAAACATGAAATAAGATACAAAGCATTATAGAAATGCGAAATAATTATCACTATAGTTTAAAGAAAAAAGTAGGTCAAACATACTCAAATTGTATTTAAAACTACAATAAACGTAAAACAATTACCCTGCATATTAATCAAAATATATACATTAATACGTGCTCAATTTAAAATTATTAAGACTAGATACCCCAAAATACATATTTATACATCCAATTAATTAACCTTTGATTAATAAAACATTAATTAGATATTAAAATTTGAATATTAATTATTAATTTGTATACCATTTACATATGCATATTAATTACACATGACGTCATCCCACACTTCCGCCTCAATCTTGACACTATAGATACTGCCGTTTTGTGCACAGCGCAGATAGCCCATAGGGAATCTTTGTGCTCAACATAAAAACAGGCAAATTAAAACTCATCATTAATTGAACTGTCTTAACCCATTCACTGAGGCTGTCACGTATACAGGAATACCTATACTTTTTTCTGCTCTACACTGCGGGCATGTCCTGTACGGGATTTTGTTGACATCATGAGGGATACTGATGGGAAAAGACAAAACATTATTGATACAATGTTCGGTACCAATACTTGGGTGGAAGGAGAGTGCTTCAACACTCATAAATACCCCTTACGACTTTACATGGGAAATTTACAAATGAAACCCTTATAAGGCAGAGCCACAGTGTATGGAAGAAAAAAAGTCTGACAGGTATACGTGACAACTACAGTTAATGGGATAAAATAAATGATAACTTTTGATTGTTGTTTAATGAAATATATTCAGAAAACAAGAATGAAGCAGCTCAACTATTCTGTTGTTAGAGACATTTGGGAATGGTTGGAAAATGGTGTAATGCTTGTTTCATTTTAATGTATGTTTCCTTTGTTTTATTATTTTTGTGAGTTGTTTGGTTCATGCATCATGAATTCATAGAATTTTAAAGATGATGAGCTCGCACCAACCTTTGTGATATCCAAAATTAATACAGTTTACTATACTCATAATAGAGATCTGCTGATGGACACTACAATTGCAATCATTGAAACATTGCAATTAACACATCTGTTATTTTTTTTAATAATGTGGAAACGTACCATTAAGCATTATAACATAACTCTACCATCCACACTACCATATGCTACTGAAAATTTAGTGAGTAAGGATCTATTTCAAACTTTGGCCAATGATAGAAGACGGTGAGAAAGTATTGATGAGTGACCAATTATTTATCTAAATATTTATTGTTACGTTTGCCTCAGTTGCTTCAAAAGATTAGCCTCGATGTAAAAATAAGCATACGACATTACGTGAAAAGAGAATGCTAAATCCCAAGTCAAACTAACTTCCTCTGCGACAAAGAATGACTTTAGAAATCCTGAATCATGTGCCATTCTTGTCTTTAACAAAGAATCACCATCATCATTAATTAGAAACGCGCCTTCTGGCGGCATGACAACTTCTGCTTGTCATGGCGACCTAGTAACGTGCCCCTAGTAACGCGCCCTCTAGTGACCTTCGTGAAATTATGACACCATCGTCTCTACCCCCTCCCCTGAAGTTCAGGAGTAACTACTCATGACAAATGCGGAGATCTTGTTCCATAACTTTCCATTCACAGCTGGATATGCAACGTTAAAGCAATGCAGGAAAAAAAAAGGGACGAAGAATGTTACGTTCCTGATAGTTGACTTGAAATTACTGAGACAATTTGCACATAGAACTGAACAAAGTTAGCAGTAATTTTAGAATGAGAAGTTGAAACGTTTGTTTTGTGTGATGTTAAGCATAAAACTACATAATGGGCTAACTATGCAATGCCAACTACGGGTATCAAAAACCGGTTTTAGGCGTAATATGTCTTGAGACCTCCTGCTGTGCCACTGGATGAGAGGGGACAAAGCTGAAACTAAACAAATTCAAGTGATCAGTAGCGTACTCTGAAAGTATCGTTCCCTTGATACAAAATACATGTTTCCTAAATTTGGGTGCCAGACATGGTCTTGAAGATAGCCTGCTTGGACGACGAATCTATGGTTTGCATCCAGTTGCCGCAAAACCACATTTTTCATTTGGGGCTATGAGTACTTTATAAGAAAAACACTCGTACGCCACTGTTCGCTCAGAAAAGAGTACCCCACAATATGGCGATTGGTGCTATCTTCCTTTCAGTTTAGCAGTTCAAAATTAGAGACGAATATGCACAGATAGCGCTTTATGTAATTTTACTCTAAATTCTGAAACAAACAAAACATGAACTTGGATTCAAATGCTGTCTAGTATCTGTAATATGTAAGAGATCTCAACACTTCAATAGCTAGGTTGCTTGTATTAAACCATAAATTTACTCAAATGACACTAAAATGATGCATGCGGTGGCGTTCTTTCGAATAATATTATTCAGTAGCTTTACACAGCACAATATATGATATTTTCACGTTTCTCTATGTGTATGAAAACTACTATTTCCCGATTAACTTTCAAGCTATTCTGAATCACTTTATAATTAAATGGTTTCGCTGCTGTCTGCGTTAAAATAATTAAATATTTACAGCAAAGCAAAAATAAAATAATAAGCAAGCGATTAACCTTTCTCATGAACGTACGTAACCGCTTGGGTTTAAGTAGCGGTGTATATGTTGAGAGGCATTGAAAGATCCAGATTAAAATCTAGTAAGTTTCTTATAACCTTATGGATGCAAAATATGTTGTTGCTATGATAAACGACCTTCCAGCGTGATGCGAATGTCTTTGATAATTTCCAATCTTTATAACTACATGTAAACTCAAAACCTTTTCTTCTCATTAGGCCCCACAGTCTGCGGACTTATACCGCTAGAACGGGGTTTCGATACCCGTGGTGTACCTTTGTGCTTAATAACAAACAACAACATATTTTCATGAGAACTTTTTCTGTATAAGACTTATAAACACAGCTACAAATGCAGTTTTTTCTCACAGACTTGGAAATATTTTGTTCAACCAAACTTAACCAAAACATTTTGAAGATTCAACTTCAGATGACACAGCCGCTTGTTTTAAAGATATATCCACTTGTGTTTTATCTTTGTTTTTAGATAAGTATGTCTCACAATACTAGAAACGGTGAAAGTTTCAAAGTCACATGATCTTAATAGAGCACAACCAGCAGAAGAAACAAAGAACAAAATAACAAAAAACTAATTATGTTGAACAAAAATTCACCCATGATGTTTATTATGCACAGTGCTGCAGTCAAGCCCCTCCTGCAAACAAAATTCAAGACTATGTTTATAAAAATGTTTTATTTTACAGTGATGAATAAAGAAGCATTAACATCCGAATATGAGTTATGCCGGGGATCATCATGACCGACTGATTTGAACATCATGCTGGAGGATGGATCAATTCAATCCTTAAACCACCGCTGGGTGAGGGTCCCCAGACCGCCCATCTTTTAGCCCTCTCCCCCTCCTAAGAAAAACATTTAACGTTTATAGACTTAGTCGACGTTTTTAGCCTTGTTATTCTCAAGTGTTTTAATTTTTTATCTTTTTTTTTAACCTTTCCACTAACTTAGCATAGATCTACTTTATATTATTACAGCATTGCACGAACTCACTTATCATAGCGTAATCAAATCTGAACGCTTAATTGGCTAATCAAAAAGTGTTTAGTCATTGTTTACAAGAAGTCCAGTTGATAAAATGTCTGGTGCATATGCACTTGTTGTTCTGTACAAATTCAATACCGTTGAATTGGTAGGGAAATAATTAAAAAACTGATAGGAATTATTTTGAAAAAGTTAACTCTTTATTCTTCGCTTTGATATTTCCCTTTCAATGAGATATGAAATAAAATTTTTGGTCATTCAGTTTGACATGATAGATCATCAGATGTTTGATTTCCATAAAAATTAACTAAAACACTACTTTATAACAGTGCTTTGGTCTTATCATAAATAAAATGTTATAAGGTCGAAATTTCCTTTGGTTGTCTTTTTACATAGTGGCCTGTCTTCTTTTTTGAATAATATTTTGCAGTTGGAGATAAATTTACGTATATGATTTCTAGAAAATCTTGGTTTTCTTTGGTATTTTTTTGTACTAATTTTAATATATTTAGTAGAACTAGTCGTTTAAATTATTTTGTTATTGGCGAATCAGAAGTGATTGCACAAATAGCACCAAACTTAGACTGTTAATAGCCATCTTGGCAAGAAAATCCCGAAAACATAGCCTAATTTGAGGCCCCCACCCGCCCACCCCGCTGGTTCAGTGGTAAGTTTGAGGTCTTATCACGCTGAAAATCGGGTTTCAATACTCAAGACGGGCAAAGAACAGATAGTCCATTGTCTAGCTTTATGCTGAAGAACAAGTAAACAAACCTAGTTTGAAAATAATTACTAGCTTATAGTAATAATAATTATATTGTCGATGGAAGCATAATAATTTTTGACATTGACAACGATCTACAATAATGGAAAAAATTGTAATTAATCTATTAAAAAAAAGTTTAATTGAAATTGCATTGCATTCATAAATAAACAATAAATATTTTGTTGTTCACTTTATAGACTTTTTAAAGCTATAATTCTTTAAAGATGAGTGACGTACAGTGACAATCAAGTATTGCGAAATATTAAGCATCACATTTCATGATAATTCTGTTTTTTTTTAATTGGATATCACCTCAAAATTAGATATTTGTATCAAAAAGCAATAATATTTTTTATTATGAAAACAAAAATATCCGATTTTGAACACAAGTTAAAATTTATGTTTTTCTTCCACATGCATATGCACAATAAAACTGCGTAGTTAGTGGTACACAATGTATCAAAAAGATAAGTTAATTTGCTCCATAATGGCTCATTGCCGAGTCAGTCATCTGACCAAAAGCACTTAGATACTTAGTTAGTTTGTAATTAAGCTCAAAGGTACACAACGAGCTATATGTGCTCTGCCCACCGCGGTTATCGAAACCCGGTTTCTAGCGTTTTAAGTCCGCAGACATACCGCTGTGCCACTGGGGGCGGTTAGACACTGCTTAATATCCACTCCAACATTTAGAAACAGAAACCTAATTTTCTTATTAAGTAGATTTTGCACATATGCTGTATTTCTTTTATAATAATATATACAATATTTTATATATTTTTGGCTCGGAGTTGATAACGGAGAAACAAAAGACTGTCAAAGTCTACTGACTCCTTAAAAACAGGAAACGTCAGAGAATACTGATGTTTAGTCCACCATATTTCTTTCCTTTATTGTCTCCCTGTGGATTAGCGATACGTAAACATAGCCCACTGTGTAGCTTTGCGCTAAAGCAGCAGCAACAACAAATTTTCTATTATGTGTCGTAGTTCAACGACAACAATAACAAAATGCATTAGAGGCAACATAAAACTGCACGAAAAAATATCCATGAGTTAACAACAAACGTAGTAATTTTTCAGTTTTCTCAAAAGTGATTGAAAACGGGAAGACAACGTATACAGTTGCGTTGTGATTTATGATGACTTCATACTCACACTACATGTTGATTAAGGGTATAAAAATCAGGTTTGAATAAGTTACTGCAAAGCGTATTTCGCCTTCCATGTGATGAAACTGGTCTCCATACCGAGTTTTCCAACATTGCGCCCATTGGTTTCCTGAACAGCTGAGGCCCGGCATGGCCAGATGGTTAGGGAGCTCGACTTGCTATCTGCGGGTCGCGGGTTCGAATCCCCGTCCCACCAAACATGCTTGCCCTTTCAACCGTGGTGGGCGTTATAATGTCACAGTCAAGCCCACTATTCGTTGGTAATAGAGTAGCCCAAGAGTTGGCGGTGGGTGGTGATGACTAACTGCCTTCCCTCTATTCTATCACTGATAAATTAGGGACGGCTAGCGCAAATAGCCCTCGTGTAGCTTTGCGCGAAATTACAAACAAACTGAACAGCTGAAGTGATTTTTGAAACACCTAGTGAACCCAACTCTAGATATATATATATATATGTTAGTTGTAAAACAAGTAAACTAACACAGTGATGTGTAAAACTTGTAAGCATGTGGAATAGTTAAAATAGCTGTAAAAGATATATATATATATATACTCAATGTTTAGGTTAAACATCCATTGGTCTGAAGTAATTTCCCCTAACAACGTCATATAACAATAGGTGCCCAAGATATATTTCTATCTTGCTAACTTATAGGATGGGCGTGGTTTAGTGGTTAGCGTGCTGGGCTGCATATCGTAAAGTTTAAGACAGTATACGAACCAAACATGGTCTAATATCCTTCGGTGTGTACAGTATAATTTACTGTTTGTCTTGTACGTGTTTGTAAATTTTTTAAGTTCTCAATTTGTCAGTGTTTGCTCAAATTCAGATTTTTAACAATGTTCTTAGTCTTTTCTGTCTTGTTTCTTATAAGTTTATCTTTGTTTTTCTTATGTTATACAAACTTGGAATTCTTAAATGAGTAAATACAATCCTAGATGGATTACCGTATAGGTCACGAAAATATCTCTGAGCATGATATTAAGCCTTACTGTTGTATCTTTCTTCTTGGACACTGACCGTAAAGTTTGTTTCGACATTTAAAAGGATTTAAGGTGAAAATATACATTAAGTATACAACAATGAATTTCATTCAAAATCACGAGCATTGTTGGCGACTCTCTATACTAAACATATTAGAAATTCTATTCATCTTTAAATATTTTTTTATTCACATGGTGTTCGGTATGTCTGCGGACTTGCAACATTAGAAATTGGGTTTCGATACCCGTGGTGGGCAGAGCACAGATAGCTCATTATGTAGCTTTGTGCTTAACTTTAAACAAACAAACAAATCACATGGTGTTTGTGCTGCCACCTATTTTCCTAAGCGTACGTTCCTTATCATATATCATTACTCAGATTATACTGCTCAGCTTTATTCAAAAGGTATAGGGTTTATAACTTGATTGTTAAGTTGTTAGTAACTTTATCACTGTTTTAAAGAGAACCGTACACTGTCCTAATCACAACAGCTTTTGTCCACCTATCTTGGAGAAAACACAACCTAGTAGAGTCCAAACACCACGTGCTCAGTTTCAAGGACAAGCAAGCAAATAAAACTAACGTTAAAGCCACAAGCTTAACTGATTTCACGTTGTCCTTCTCCCAAGATGATCAGTGGGGTGCAAGAATATATCAGTTTTCCGATATTTATTATTACTGTTGTAGTCGGTCTTTTGATTCTCCATTTGTTGAAAAGCAGGCCCACAAACATACCGCCTGGTCCCGTAGGATTACCCTTTGTAGGATACTTACCATTTTTGGGTTCTGAGCCTCATCTTACCCTAAGAAACTTAGCTGAGAAATATGGGGACATACTAAGCTTCTCTATTTGTGGAAAAACTGTTGTTTATTTGAACAACTACGAAGTTATTCGTGAAGCGTTTCTTAAACGAGGGGATGAGTTTGCAGGGAGACCTCAATATCCAAGCTTTTTTAGATGGCTAACGGACGGCACAGGTAAATATTAACTGTTTACTTGTCAAATTTGTAATGTTCACCATACTATAAAGGTAAGATGAAATTAGTTTCTAGGATGGGTGAATTACATGCTTTAATTATTAAGTCACTATTTGAATGTTTTACCTATACATGTGAGTTGTATATAGGAGTGTTTCTGGAATAACGTAGGGTCGCGGGGTGTGTGTGTGACAACTGTAAAGATGTGAATCGCCAAAAACTATTAACAGGCGTGCTGATATTCCAGTAATTTTAGATCTTTATTTCAGGTTTTCATATTTAAAGCATTTTTGCACCACATGCTTTTTTTCGCATTTGTAATAAAAGAAATTCAACTATTAATTAATGGGAGTTATAACAGCTTCCAAACTTCTAAAGGTCATCAAACGTGAGTTGAAAATTGTTGATTCTTAAAATGTTTTTTAGGTTGCAATTTTTAATATTTTTTTTGCAACTGTGAAACTAAATCTATAAGTTGACCTGGAAATACGTGCCTTACATAATTACAAGTAAATTAAGCGACCATTAGTACGTTATTCAATATATTTAACGTAATCGATCTCTGTTTATAACAAATTTGACTGAAATGTGAATTAGCCTCGAATCAAAAACAAGATCTGTTTTTATTTATACATAATGGTTTTATGAAGTTAGTTGAACTACGAATACTATAGATAGAGAAAATAGTTGCAGATTTCACCCCAAAATGTATTTTATTTAATCTGGTTCTTTTACCAAGTTAATTATATTTACACATTTAAAAAAAATAATATCGTTTATTTTTCCAAACAGCTATAATGAAGTCTTTCAGTATTCGATTACTTAATTAATAAAGCATTTTTGTTAAATAGGTATCATTCAGGACGAAGGGAGACAATGGCAGGAACACAGGCGTTTTGCTCTCCATACTCTCCGAGATTTCGGCTTTGGTAAGTTAAGTTTGGAAGGCCGTGTTCAGGAGATTACCAAGGACATCCTCAATACCTTGAAGGAGACAAAGGCGATGCCCTACGACGTGTCCACCCTATTGGCTAACAGTACAGCTAATGTAATAAGTAGTCTTATGTTTGATAAGCATTATGACTACCAAAATCCAGAGTTTCTACAACTTCGGAATTTAACGCAGACGTTTCTTTACGCTATACCTGGACTCGGTTCATTCATACCAAGGACTTATATGAAGTAAGTTAATCTATACATAATAATAAAAGGGCGTGTCTGTGGGTCTCTGTGTGACCAACATAGCTTCTAGAAACCTGAAATTTTGCACCAATACTAGGTGGACCCTGAGGGTGTGCACCTGGGTATTACTTATCTTATCCACATGCATCTTTTTCATGAGACAAGCTAGCGAAAAACCACATAGAAAATAAGTGGTTCCTTATATGACAAAATACTAAGTGGACCATGAGGGTGTGCACTTGGGTATTATTACTTATCTTATCCACTTATGAGGCAAGCTAGCAGAAAACCACATAGAAAAAAAAAGCGTTTTTTATGTTTCTGTGAAATAAAAAAAAATATTTTTGACTATTCTTCTATGCTAAAATACGTTCAGAGTACACACACTGACATGGTCATCTAGAATGTATCAACCTATTAACCCAAGCGAAGCCGGGTACTTTCGCTAGTATATATATATATATGCTAAATAATTACATTTCGATTAAAGCATCCAAATACACACATATATATATATATATATATATTATCTTTTTATCCTCATACTTAAATTCATATATCACTACATGCATGAACAGGTAATTGTACAGAAACCGACTTGAGTAGTTGTCTTATGTGAGTGATTTGTTATTTACCCTCCCCCGCAGTGGCACAGCGGTATGTCTGCGGACTTACGACGCTAGAAACAGGGTTTCGATACCCGTGGTGGGCAGAGCACAGATAGCCCATTGTATAGCTTTGTGCTTAACTTCAAACAAATAAACAATTGTTATTTACTAAACTTCCGACCCAGAAATTCCCACAAACTAGCGGGGCCAAACTTGGGGTGGTGGTAAAGACCTTTCTTGGGGGAGCTATAGAAATAATAATCGGTACACTGAGGCTTCTGTGAATCTTGACGGGGTCCTTTGACCCCCTTCAACATAGCCCAGGATTTAATGCTTGTATTCATAATAGACAGTTGTAAGCTTTTTCAACATTAGAATTTGTATTAAAACATCTTTGTTGCAAGAAAAGTCAAATGATGCTAGAAGTACAACGATCATTAGTGTTTTATTATTATTATTTTTAGCCTTAAAAAGAAATATCTACTTGCTACAAAACGGACAGATGATAAAATATGATAAAAGTGATGACTTTTTGTAACAGATGTTTGGGAAACGAAACTAAATATATCTTAAGAGTAGAAAATGAATGTTTGTTATATATATTTGTTTATTATTGTTATTCGTACTGTTTTGTTATGCAGTTGTTGTGTTTTCTGTTCGACCATTATTTCAAACAACAACAATAGATATATAGAAATAACTCGTGCATATAATTTATGTACTATTTAGAAAAACATCCGCTAACAAAACAAAACTTATTTTTCTTTTCCAGCTATTTGCCATCAATTCTGCTGCCCACTTTTAAAACGATAAACGGAGTTAAGAAGGAGTTTCACGAATTTGTCGAAAAAATCATCCGAGAACACGAATCAACGTATCAAGAGGCAAACCTTCGAGATTATGTAGACGTATACCTGGAACAGAAATACCGAGCAGAAAGGGAAGAAAGGATAGATGAGAGCACATTCACGTGCAAGTTTCACTCTAACTTTTATTTATATTCATAACTAGTTACTGTAAAACGTTGTACCCAATTTTATTGTATATACAATATATTTAAATCAATAATTTGGGAAACTAAAATTTCAAGGCCTGCGAATTTAAACTTCGTAAAAGTTGTTTTGGTTTTAATAATGGATTTTCCATAGTTCAGCTATGCAGTTATCGAAAATAATATTCATTTTTCTATTACGTAAGGATTTTTTACAAATCGGGAAGAAAAAAACTCTTACTTAGATTAAATTATTATTTCGTTTACCACATTTTTTTATTATATTTGTTAACAAAAATACAAACAAACTGAAGAAAAGGGAAGAACATTGATGTCACACGAATATACATCCTCATTCATCCTGATTTTTGTGTTAAATCTACGTCTTTTTAGTCTCAAATTTACGTGTTGTGGTTTTCGTTTTATGCATTGCATTATGATGTTTTGTGAAAAATATGTACGTGATGAAGAAAAATGGATATCATTTTCGGATTCAGTGTAGAGGAATTACTGTAGAACATGTAAACATTTCAAGAGTCAAGACAATAAAACCATCGCAGGCTCTGTGTAATTTAAATCTAGCAAATGCTACAAAAATAGTTGTCGACGTGTTTCGTTATAATGGAAATCTGTATGTATATACCTGCGATAATTCCATTGGTTGAAAGGTAAAAAGCGCCTAAACTGATTAATGTTGTATACCTATAACGTCCGTACTAGTTTCGTTATTTATTTCCATACGACTAACTGTATTATTCCCGCTCATTTCTAAGACTGTTTTTCCTCATATGAACTGCCATACTATCTCGCGCACACTGGTAGCTTTTATATTGATTGTGATAAAATGTAACATCTAGCTTCAAATGCTAAAAATAACCTATATAAATTAAATTAGAAACATCAAAGCAAAAATATTTTATCTACAAACAATTCAATAATATTAACTAAACACACACATGTATATAGAAACTTACATTTAAGATATAGAGAATTGAGCATAGATTATCTAATCAAGTTCTCCTGTAGTTAACGCTCCCATGGGTTGTGGTTCCCCGGAGGAACAACGGTAAATTTATGGACTTACAACGCTAAAATACGGGGTTCGATTCCGTGGTTGACACAGCAGATAGCCCAATGTAGCTTTGCTCTAAAAGAAACAAAAGTTGTGAAAATGTATAGAAAGAAAGAGTTTGTTTGTTGGGTTTTGCAAAACCCGTCAAGGGGTTTCTTCACTAACCGTCCCTAATTATGAACCGATAGAGTCTAAGGAAGGCAGTTAGTCAACACTACCCACCGCCAGCACTTCGGCTATTATTTATCAACGAATAGTGGGATTGGCCTAATTCCACCAGTTGTAATACTAAAGAAATGAATTATCTCCAGACATCTATATCTATATAAATAAACGTCAAAAAATATATATATGTGTGTGTGTGTATCTGTTTCTTATACGTTTCTTGATCAATCAGCACCAAACCTGACACAGTGATACAGGATGATATGAGGGAGGTCATGGGGTGAGGGTTGGACCCTCTTCTAATTTCATATCTAATTTCAGAAAATCATCCCTAAACATTAGAATGAACTATGTAACCACTATTGTTGGAATTCTTGAAAACAGTATGTCTTTCTTTCTTTTCCTTATTGCTACTTTTATCTATTTTTATTGCACCTTTAATGTTTAGTATGTTAAGTAGAAAAAACAAAAGCACAATTTCCTATCTTTTGTTAAAAACGAATGTTTATTTCATTCTTCCAACGGACGGGTACTCCAGCTAGTAAAAAATATAGAAAAAGCAAATCTAAGAAGAAGTACAATCGTGAATTGAAAGTAAACAAAAAGGGGGATTGAAGAATTGTTATTGCTAAAAGCTGAACAATGAACTATCCGTGCTGTGCTTATTGCAAGATCCCAACCATTAATTTTAGCTGTATAAGCCCTTAAGTCTACTACTAAGCCACCGGGGGTACGGCTAACCAAAAAAGAAATGAAATAATAAAGAAATGTTTTTGTTTGAATTTCATGACTATTTTCAACCAATTTTTCTCTAATTAGTGAAACGCTTAGCAGCCATTAGTTTGAACATGTTCCTTGCTGGTACTGAGACTACGTCCAACACCCTCTACTGGGGAATGAAGTTAATGACCTTCCACCCAGGAATACAGGACCGTGTGTATAAAGAGATTGTAGAAGTTGTGGGAAAGGAGAGACTTCCTTCCATGGTTGACCGCAATAACATGCCTTACACAGAGGCTACAATAATGGAAATTCAACGATTTGCTAACATTGTACCCTTGGGGATTGCCCATTCAAATCCAGGTAATACTCTTAATCTTTTCCGACATTTCCTTTTTTTACAGATATTTATTGTAATCAAACTCATCATTATTAAAAGAGGAATAAAAGAGTAAAGTGGGAAATAAAATGTTAATTAAAATATTTCTTCTTGTTGTTGGTTTTTAGCGCAAAACTATACGATGAGCTGTCTGCACCCTGTCCACCGCGGGGAATCGAACTCCGAATTTTAGTGTTGTAAGTCCATAAAATTATCACTGACCCACCAAGGGACTAAAATTCTTGAATTCACAAATATTGTCACATGGATTAACATTAGATACGGAGCTGGTATCTATAGCACTGTTGCCTGGATAATCGACATAACTATGAAATTAAAATCTACTTTCTTACAATATCAAAGAGGAAACTTTTGGCTAGAAAATACAAATATGTCTTGCAGTTATATTGGTTTGGCTATCAACTTATTTTTTGAGTAAAATATGTTTATAGATTTTTATTTGATCAAATACTATAAGGTCTGTGTGCGATTAGAAAAATAAAACATCGTCCTTTTCACGTAAAAGTTTCTAACAAAATGCTCAACAATATTAATTAAATGAGGTAAATAGACAAGGCATTCTCATATAACTGCATCAGACCACTACAATTATATATATATATATACGGCCAGGCATGGCCAGGTGGATAAGGCGCTCGACTCGCAATCTGAGGGTCGCGAGTTCGAATCCCCGTCCCACCAAACATGCTCGCCCTTTCAGCCGTGGGGGCGTTATAATGTGATCGTCAATCCCACTAAAAGAGTAAAAAAGTAGCCCAAGAGTTG